CTGAGATTCATATATATATAACACTGAAAATACTTACAAAATTACCAAAATTATGGCTCAATAAATCAACTGATCAAATTAAGTGAGGAGAATCAATCGAGTGCTTAAACTGTTTAATTCGCCACCCCGCCCCAAAGTAAACCTCGTGATGCTCATAACCGTGATCATTAATACGGAAAAATAATTTGATTTTAGTTGCATTAACAGTAATTAAGTTCGTTAATTACCTGAGGAAGCGGAAAAATTACGAAGAGATCGAACGCGAAGCCCTTCGCCGAGCCGAGGTAATGAGCGGCGATCATCTTAGGATCCCACACGAGCTTCCCGCAGCCGACCACGAGCGACTCCCGCGACACGTACGCCATCCGGAGCTGCATCCACACGTGCCCCAAATGCGCCCCATCCGCACCGTACCACGGGCCACCCGCAGCCCCAGCCGCGGCCAACCCCCGGTTCATCCCCACGCATCCCACGCCGGCCCGACCGGCCCAAAGCGTGTAGTGAACCGCCGGGCTCCGGGGATCAAGAACCGATCCGAAGGGACCTCGAGCGGTTACCGCCGCCTGCAATGGCGGCGGAAGAGAGCCGACGCCGCCGATGGGGATTAGGGAAGATCCGGCTCCGGCGCGCCACTGGGGAGCCTGCGCGCGACCGCAGCTGGTGGAATGGAACGCCGGATTGCCGGGTTGGGTGCAGGCGTAGCACTCCACCGGCGTCGGAACGGCGCCGTGATCTTCGTCGACGGCGGAGGTCTTCCGGTGAATCAATTGGCGGAACCATCTGCGAAGAAATTTTGGGGCGCATTGTTAGGGATTTGGTTTTATGAGTTGGTTGGTGGTTAGAATGGAGCTTACCGGGTGTTCGAGATCGGGGGCGTGCGGTGGAGGAAGGTGGGAGAGGACGGCGGCGGAAGGGCCGCCGGCGAGGGTTTGGAAGAGGGGAGGGAAATATGGAATTGGGAGGGGGAGGGAGAAGTGGAGGTGAGGAGAGAGTGATCGGAGAAGCTCATGACCTCTTTCAGCTATATACTACTGATACTATCAGATTATGGGGGGATTAGGGGGTTTTGCCGATTCTTATAGCTGCGATGAGGCGCCAGGCTGGCTTGAAGTGCCACGTCAATTTCTATGGGAAGATGATGACGTGGACAAGCGAACAAATGCCAGGCTGGCTCGACGATTTACTTGACCCAAATCTGTTTTAAAATATGTGAAAAGGGAAGAACAATTTTGTTTGTTTTTTCTCATGAGAAAGTTATGTTTATTTTTTCAAAGCTTCACAACTATTTCTTCAAAAATTAACATCTATCGCAAATGCACTCTTAATTGAAATCGAGCACTTTGTGTGATTTGTTGCTTCACAGTTGCTCCGAAGCTTCTCATAGGAATTATTGTGATAAGCTGGTGAGCTTCTTCTAATTGGTCGATCAGCTCTCATGATTCTTAATTATCTTTCATCATCCTCAACAAATCCTCAATGACAACAAGCACATAAAAGTGCTTAGAAACTGACATTATCTGGTTTGTATTATCTTTTATCATAGACTCAAAAGCCCCATATCAAGTTCCTCTCTCCCATTCATTATCAATCATGGCATTAAGTCACGCTTAAAAACACGCTCTTTGTTCTCATTTTTTGAAAGACATCCATAACTTCTCATATTTTCATACTTCATGAACAAGCTAATGAGAGTAATGCAAATAAACATATTCATTCTCAATTGATTTATAAATACATAGTTATGAATTCATACAACCTAATAAAAAGCATCAAGAAAATCACTACCACACCAAAAATTATGATTTCACCATGCTTAGAGTTCAAAAAGATCATCTTACTAAACCGCTTTTGTGCCTTTTTAAACTTCATGTTATATATATGGTTGGTGATCATTGCAATATGGTTAGACATTTTATCAAATATGTGACATTTGTTGTTAATATGGGACAATAAAGAACATGATAACAAGAGTAATCGCTTGGAAGAAATGTGCATGGAGACTTAGCTTGATCAAAGAACCATAGATCAAGTAGTCAAGGCTTTGAAGATGCACCTAAAAGATATTGGACTTAAGGATTGGAGGTAATGCTATAAGATCTAAATGAATGATAAGTTTGGCAAGTGAGTAAAGACCATGATGGATTTGTGGTGTTTATAGAATTTAGTGTATAATTTTATGAGAGAATTGCAAAGAATTTTGTTAATAAGGTGGCAAAATTGATGTGGGAGAGAAATAAAGTTGGGTTGAAAGGAGTAGGATGATGTGAGGGAGTGGCTGATGTGCCTTTTAAAGAATATATTAGCAAGATGGGAGTTGTTGATTAGGGTTTGGGATAGCAATGAAATAAATTGGAAGGGAAGTTAGGATTTTAAATGTGTGGTTCAACTATGGTGTTGTTTTGTTCTCTACTATTGAAAAATTGAGTTTGTCAAGAAATTTTAAGAATTTTTATAGGGAGATGATATATCAAATATTTTTTTAATGAAATTTATCATTTTTTATATATGATTATCACCTTTGGTTATCACAATAAATAGAATACAGTTATTTTGATCATCAATCTAATGATTTCTATTAAATTAACCAATTCACAATAAACTGACATCGTACTCATAATACAACAACACATCACACAAAAAGCCTAATTATCACTCTCACTATAGCTTTTCTAATCGTTTATTAAAATCACCTTTAAACAAGCCATATTAATCCAGTTTGTAATCACTTTCCTATATATGCCCTAGCATATGCCAATGTATTAAATATATTTATAATGATTCGATTCTTCTTCATGTACTACCAACATATCTTATATTATTTCATAATAAAAAAAATTAAAAAAATGCACTCCTCTCAAAAATATATTCCCTTATGAAACTCATGAATCTTCAAGCTACTATTAAAAATTTTAATATTGCCTCTTGTTCTATGCAGCATAATCAACATTTATTTGATCACATTCTTACTCATCATCATCTATCTCTCCACCCACATTCTTAGAAGGTCAGTGTTAAGCATGTGTGCAAAGAAGTTAAAGATGACCACTAGATTGCTTTTAAAAAAGTCCTTATTTTTTAAGGTGTTGCAAATGATAGTACAAAAAATGCAAGAAGTTTAATATAACATTCAACTAAATTTTAATGAGATTTTCTTATAAACTTCACTTTCACTGCACTAGAAAGCAAATATGGATTGAGTAATTAGGCATAAAATACAAAACAAATATTTCTATTTCAAATTGGGATAAAGTTGCACGAGTTAATAATATTATAATTTGGCTGAGTTGTCTCGATAGGATGAGTTGAATGTATTATTTTATAAATAATTTTTACTCATCAATTAAAATTAATCTGTTTATAATAGTATTCTAATAATTTCTTTATTTAATACTGCTAAATTTATGACCTGAATTTATGGGTCCCGCTTCATCTCATAAAGAAATTATGACCCCACGGATTGTGGCTTCATAAAATAAAACTATGAGCATATGAATTAAAAGTTTTGATCGTCACATCAAGCTTATAATAGCCTTTAGATTGTAATCCGTGTGTTATTATTTTACTGGCTCTCTTTTAATAGTTCTTTTACTAAGAAAGCTGAAATTCTTTCCATATTCCCACATTTTAGCTTTCTCAAATCATTCATTAAAAAAATGGGCATCTATTTACAAAAGGAAAAAAAAAAACCAAAATATGCTAAAAAACAATAAAATACTCATATTTTATTTTGTGCAAGACACGCTCTGTTTGTAATCTCTTATTTGATATAGTAAATTCTCTTTCTTTGCTAGTAGTTTTTCCCATCTTGGGTTTTCCATGTAAAATTTGCATGTTCTTTTTTTGCTTATTTCATTATTTGTTGCATCGAGTTAATATCAGGTTATAACAAATAATCTTTCAGACCAACTAAAATTCAACCTATTATCAAATAATAATTAATATTTTGTAATATATTATAAATTAGCAAATATGTGAAATTAGATATATATATTTTTAGTAATGCTATAACTTTAAATTTTAAAACATAAAAAACAAAATTAAGTTGAACTATATTAAATTTACTAAAATATGAGAAAACATTGTTTATTTTTATATATAAAATTTTATTTGGACACGGTATATGTAATATACACTTCAAGATGCATAGGCATCTAAATTAGACGTAGGGCCCATTTGGGACAGCTTAAATGTGCGGCGGCGTTTTTGAAAACGCCGCCGTAGCG